GCCTTCCTGTTCTCTACCATCCCCCGGAGTCCATTTAAGCTCACGCTGACTGCTTCAGTGACTCCATCCAGCCACCTCATTCTCTGCCATCCCCTTCTTCTTTTGCCCTCAATCATTTCCAGCATTAGGCTCTTCTCCAGTGAGTCCTTCCTTCTCATTAGGTGGCCAAAGTATTTGAGTTTCATCTTCAGAATCTGGCTTGTCAGGATTGTTTTCCTCTAGAACTGATTGGTTTGATTGCCTTGCAGTCCAAGGGACTCGCAGGAGTCTTATCCAGCACCATAGTTCAAAGGCCTCAATTCTTTGGCGCTCAGCCTTCCTTATGGTCCAATTTTCACAGCCATATATTGCAACTGGGAAAACCATAGCCTTAACTATACACACTTTTGTTGGCAGGGTGATGTTTCTGCTTTTTAGTATGCTGTCTAACTTTGCCATAGCTTTCCTCCCCAGGAGCAAGCGTCTTTTAACTACTTGGCTGTAGTTCCCATCTGTGGTGATCTTGGAGCCCAAGAAAATAAAATCTGTCACTACCTCCATTTCTTCCCCATCTATTTGCCAGGAATTGAGAGGGCCAGGAGCCATGATCTTAGTTTTTTTAATGTTGAGTTTTAAGCCAACTTTTGCACTCTCTTTCACCCACATCAAGAAGCTCTTTAGTTCCTCTTCACTTTTTGCCATTAGAGTGGTATCATCTGCATATTTGATGTTGTTGATATTTCTCCCAGCAATCTTAATTCCAACTTGTCATTCATCTAGCCTGTCTTTCTCATGATGTGCTCTGCATGTAAGTTAAATAGGCAGGGCAACAGTGTACAGCCTTGCCGGACTCCTTTCTCAGTTTTGGACCAATCAGTGATTCCGTGTCCAGTTCTCACTGTTGCTTCTTGATCCACATATAGGTTTCTCAAGAAACAAATAAGATGGTCTGGAACTTCCATCTCTTTAAGAAGTTGCCACAATTTGTTGTGATCCACACAATCAAAGGCTTTAGCATACTCAATGAAGCAGACGTAGATGTTTTTTTGGACCTCCCTAGTTTTCTCCATGATCCCGCGTATATTGGCAATTTGATCTCTTGAATTCTGTTGAATTGAGGCCTAAACCTTTTGCTATTACTCCTCCTTTTAGTGTAATCTTAATGTACATACCTTCCCTTCTTTTACTCCTCCTTTTAGTGTAATCTTAATGTACATACCTTCCCTTCCCTAAAAAATCCAAACAACAAAATGAATATAAATCAACAATGAAAACAATATAGTGGAACTTTGGGAAAAGTGGATTTTTTTTGTAACAATATAACTACTGCAAAAGGTTCTTCACACTTCACCTGAATGTTTATTGGTTTATTGTGATTAGTTTATTGGTTCCTCCACCCCCACCCCCCAGTTTTTTAACTCTTTCTTTGCCCTTCATCATTTTGAGTTGAGTGCTTTTATGTTCTGTTAAATTCAGAAGACTTTGGCCTTTTGTTTCAGATAGCAAATATTCATTAGAAAGCCCAGGCTTTGTTTAATCATTATCCAACCTTGTATTCAGAACAGTGCAGTAAATATTCAAATAGAAAAAACACAAAATTCCAGTAAGATGTTTCATTTCCTAGTTACTCCTTAAACCCTAGTTACTCCTTGTTAACCCTTTTAGTCTCAGCACACCTGTGGCTTATTGGTCCCTTTCTGTAGCTGACAGTAGAATGTACAATGCACTTCACTGATTTTCTGAATCACTTCAGATGAACGTAAGCCAAGATATGAACAAAGCAGTAGATCACATCCCTGTAATCCTTTCTTAGGAACTGTGGTTAAAGTTGAAGCTTCCTAGCAAATTACATTGTTTCACTCTGAAACAGGAATCTAGAGTTCTAAGGAATATAGTACTAGAATAACACTAGGATAAGGATACCAATTTAGCAGAGATCCCATTTGGTGTAGTAGTACAGTAGTAGTATGTACAATAATAGTTAGACTGCTGGCCTAGAAAGCAGGAGACTGTGAATTCTAGGCCTTCCTTGGACATGAAAGACAGCTGGATGACTTTGGGCCTCTCTCACTCCCAGCCTCAGGAGGTTGTTATTGTAAGGAAAATAGGAGGCAGGAATATTAAGTAGGTTTGCTGCCTTGAGTTATATATATATTAAAAAAATGGGATAAAAATCTAAACATCATCATCATTATTATCATAATAGCGAATGTGAGTCTTCTTATTTTATAACTTTGTGTCTGTCATATTACAGGCCTTTCCATACTTATGCCTACAGGGGAGACGGTGTATTACTTCTTTATATTTCTTTTCTTTTTCTTTGCTATAGTTTTATTTTATTTTCTATTTTTCTTTCTATATTACTGTTTTCCCCCTCACCCCCCCTTTTTTTCTCTTTTTTTCTTTTTCTTTTTTATAATTTTCATTAGTTTTTAATCTGTTAACTCTAAGGTTTAATACAACTATTATAAAAAAACAGAATGAAATCTTTTGTTATAACTCAATAAGACCTTAAATACAGTTATGGGAAGACATTTTCACTTCTAGCAGAGAATAACAATAGACAACATCTAGCCACAATAGTTAATAGATTGCAGTTTAATGAGAGAGAGTAAAACTAATTAAAAAGGAGTGTGAGTGCTCTATTTCTAGACTTCTGTTCCTGTATGATGGAGGATCATATTCTTTATTTTTCTAGTTAACTTTCAAAAGAAATAGGAAAAAGTGAAGACTCTTTTGAGTCAGTTTTGACTCCTGATGAATACATGCAAGTGAGTTTCACTGCCTCCTCACCTTCCTTTAAAAAAAATAAAAACTTTGGAACAAACACTATAGTTCTGGGATGTTCTTATGGACTCTTATTTTAGTATTAATCATGCCCAACCAAACATAACTTTTGGGAATCAACCAAAGTTGAATTGATGCTGCCATTTGGTATAATTTTGCTAAATAGCTAGGGGAATACTCATGCTGATCATTTGGATTTACCAAAACATATAGGCCATTTTGTTTCATGGTTAGGAGGGGGCTGAGGCATAATATATGCAATAAGAGTCTCAGAGGGTTGGTCCCTGATGTGGGTCAGTTGGATTTGGGTGAAGCTGAAATGTACTGCTACTAAGTAACTCTGAGTTTACTTAAGAAATGCAAGGTTGACTCATCTCTAATTTAGATGTATTAACGTATGTTGAAAGGACAGCAGAAGCATCAACTGCTATTTTGTGGGATAATTTCAAGAGTAAGTTTCAAGTTGGGGAGGTACAAATAGACTTTTGCTCTGAGGCTAGATTATGGCAGAAGCCTGTTTCACCATTCTAAATTATTAAGAGACATTTCAACTATCAGTGATATTAGCTGAAGTTTAAAACATGTAGCAGGGAAGGTGGGCATCTAAAATGGTCCCGCATTGCCTTTTCATAACCATTGAATCTATATCCACAGGCTGAGTCACAGGATGAACTATAAACTTACTACTAATGTTGACTATAAACTAGAAGTAACCTTAAAAATGATACCAGTAATTCATCCCCAAGCCAATTTGCCCATCATCACTGTAATCTGTCTGCCTCACCTATTTCCTCTTTGTTGTTTCTTATCCTGACAAAACATCCTCAACTCATTTCAACCTTCCTTCGTACTATTATTAATCCACTTGTTTTAACAGTATATATATATTATTATTATAGTTGGCTACACAATCAGCCAAATGTTTAGACTGGATTTGGCACTTTTATCCACCTAGGAGTCTTCAAGGACCTAGGATAGGCAAATTGAGATTTAATGGTGTTAAAAGTATCATCACAGGATGTAAGTTGTTCCAAATAAAGCTGCCTTTTACAATTGACTGATGTTAATTTTTGTCAACGTAGATAGCATTTAAATGGTATTCTAGATATTATGGGATTGCATGCAAAGCACCTATTCATAGTAGTACTATCTTTGCTTTCTTTTGCCACAGTCGTTCTACTTCTGTCTCCAGGCTTTTGATTCTGCTCTCTTCAGGTACTACAGCATTCTGTATCCAGACTTTATGTCTTTCTTATCAACACTTGTTAAGTCTGGAGTGTTGTGCCAGATGCTTATTATTGTTGCTGTGATATTAATAAATAAAAATTATAAACTTAGTTTGCTGGATTTAAAAGATGAGGAAGTTTAAATCCCAACTAACTGCAATGTTAGTTGGATATGCAATGTTAGACTTGGATATCCCTAAACTGAATGATCTCTTTGCCTTGATTAGTATATCCAAACCATGACATATATTTTTTAAATGCTCAGGTATCAAAAACTGTTTAATATGTGACACTAGGGAATAGTAATTCAAGAAATGCTAGTCTAGAGTTTCTTGAACCCATAGAAATAATGGCAGAATTTCTTGGATTCTGTCCAAAATATTGTTGTACTCCATCCAATGTCATTTTCTATGAGATGGGTGATAATTTGATTAATGAATGGATGAATAAATATCCTTAACCTTCTTATTTGAAGGGCTATAGAGACAGCATTATCAGGCAGACTTTGTACTCAAGGATTCCAAGTCAAGATGAAATGCAAACATATTATTTCTGCATTTTCTAGATTGGTTCAATAATTATGTTTGTGGATGCTTCCTGAAGTCTCCCTAGTTACAAACGTTGGGGAGAGTTTAAAAGATTGCACTTTGTGGATTCCACTAATGTGAGTTAGCAATGTAGTAGAGTGGATTTATGAACTAAATTTGCATTTTCACTACAGTTTAAATAATATTTATCTTTTTCTTGAACAATGATATAAACAATAAGCAATTTGTAAATATCTCAGGAAAAAATATTTTGGAATATTTAGAAAAATATTTTTTTAATGGAATAAATAATAGTAAAGTGTGTCTCTGTGTGTGTGTTTATGAAAATTATCTGTGGGATGTATGTGCATGTGCGCATCTGTGCATCTGTGCATGTGTGTATTTATTAGTTTTGTCTAATAAGGCATTTGTGTTTACCACTTTTTATGTAATGTTAAAGTCCATCTCTCAACCTTTTCAGGATGCTCAAGAAGCACATGGGGTAGCTGTACCAACACCATCTGTTCCAGACAGCTTTGAGGACAAGCTACCCGCAGGTAAAATGATAATTGAGATGGACGCTCACCATATCTATTATCTGCATATCATTAGCTATTGTTCACTATCTTATTTGACAGTGAAATCATAAATTTTGCTTTGGCATCAGTATATCATCTTGCAGTGTTAACACAATGTTGTTTTTTTGTGGTGTTCCTGAACTTTTGTGAAACTGTACAATCTATCATTCACATTTAGAAACTTAGGACTGAAACAAAAGGCAACATATTTAGATGTTGACCACATTTTATGGAAAGGGTCTTTCGGTGGCATAAGTAGGGAAACCATCTACCAGGAGGATAGAAAGAGCATTTCTGATTTTATTATTCCTCTTAAGGTAAGTCAGCCATGTAGAGGCTATAGACATTATGACAACTATGATTACTTTTAAGTAGTGACCATGAAAAAGCATTTTTTTAAAAAGGAATTGTTTTCAGCTTACTGTTGTTTTTGGTTTGGTACTGCTTTATTGCTGTTATTTATGCTGTCTTGTTGTAGTTTTAGATGATAGCATGGATGTTTTAAATACCGTATTTTTCAGAGTGTAAGACGCACCTTTTTCCCTAAAAAAAGAGGGTGAAAATCTGGGTGCGTCTTATACTCCGAATGTAGCCCCGCCCAGCTTCTCAAACAGAGGTTTCAGAGGCTGAAAAAGCATCAGAAACGAAGCTTCAGGGGAAAAAGCCCCCAAACAGAGCTTCAGAAAAGAAACCCTCAAACAGAGCTTCAGAGGCTTTTTTTCTGAGAGGCTTTCAGAGGCAGAAAAAAAAAGCAAAAAAAAAGCAAGGCCCAGAGCTCACAACCAAGGAACCTGTTGCTAAAATCCACCTCTGAGAATAGCCGATTGGGGGTATTCCGGGAGGCCAATTTACCTGCCAATCAGCTTTTTTCTTATTTTCCTCCCCAAAAACTAAGGTGCGTCTTATACTCCAGTGCATCTTATACGCCAAAAAATACGGTAGTTCTTTTATAGTTTATACGGTGGCATGCTGGAGAAAATTGAAGTCCTGGCTCCATTGCCACCTCTGTCCAGATAGACACAGAACAGTGTGCTAGGCATTTGGCTCATCTGTGCTCTCACCCAGCTTGTAAAATTCCTGAAAATTTAAGTTTTTGAGAGCTCGCTTCAGCACACTACTGAATCTGCAAGCCACCAAAAGTGAAAATGAGACCAGTGGTGGGTTCCTCCTGGTTCAGTCCGGTTCGGCCAAGCCAGTAGCGGTGACGATATGACATCACCGAACCGGTTCTCCCCCCCACCCTCCCATCCCCCCCACCCACCCACGTTATTCTTACCTTTTATTTGGTCCCACCCCCAATCTATTGCTGCCTCCTGAGTCCGAGCTGATGACTAGAGGGAAAAAACTGTTTAAATTCTTGCTGCGGGGCTTCAAAGAGCCGTCCTACAGCTGATCAGTGTTAAAAACAAACAAATGAGTCGGGTCGTAAGTGCGAGGACTGGTCGTAAGTGCGAGGACCTTCCAGAAATGACTCTGACCAGCTAGCCACGCTCACCTAGTCACATGACCTCCAAGCCACAAAATAAGCCACGCCCACAGAACCGGTAGTAAAAAAAATTAGAACCCACCCCTGAACGAGGCCTGAAGCTTTGCAGAAGTTTTCCACTAGATCTTACATGGATATTTCAAATTGTTCTTTTATAGTCTATATAGTAGTATGCTGATAAATGTTGAAGATGGCTCCATTGCTGCCTCTGGGATGGGACCTGAACTGGGGTGGGATGTCTGGTGTGCAGGAGCAAATGGAAGGATATTCAGCTAGGAGAGCTGGGAGTCTGGAGCTGAAAGGGAAGCGTAGAGAAGATCAATACATTGGTTTATTGATGGTGGTGGTGACAGCATGGAATGTTTTGATGGGAGACAGAAGGAGGTCCATTTGTGGGAAGCCTTCCTCGTGTTTAGTACTGATGATAGGTTGTAGCCATCCGAGTTCCAGCCCATGCCTGGTCAGCAGACTTACAGAAGCCTGGATTTTTGACTGTTACTGCTTAATACCAGATTGAGTAATAATAAAGCTTTCTTAGTTATGATCTTATCAGGGAGGAGTAGGACAACCTGGCAGGTGTTACCGAAACCTGGCTGAGGCCTTAACGGGGGAGTTCCCCTTTCTGAAATGTGTCCAGCTGGGTTCAGGGTATGGCACCAGGCAGGGTAAGGGGGAAAGTAGTTGTCATTTGGGAATTTCTGTTGGCGTTTGGAGGTGCTGCTGCCCCAAGTTGCCAGATATTAGACCCTTATGTTTGTTTTTTTTTGAAGATACGCTTGTGGGATCATTGGGATTGTTGTTACTGTAACAGCATCCTGTGGCAGAACAATTCCCCTACATAAATAAATAATCTGTATATTTATATTACATGACATTATTTCCTTAAAAAAAGAACTTATTGGGTTTGAGCCAAGAAGGATCTGACTATCAGTGTCTCAATTGATATCCTAGCCTTTGGCAGTTTTAATCAATCAAGAAGAATCCTACTACTTATATTCCATAACTGATAATAGCTAACAACCTACTAGATTTTTTAAAAAAATTCTGAATTTAAATTTAGTGACAAATATACAGCACAACAACGCTCAGTTAAGCTTGGCATACCTATTGCACAGGATGCCAGTAAAGAAATGTCTTTAACCATCACCATCCCCTTTATAGCTACAGAAGTACAATTTTCCTCTAGTCAGAACTTTTGAGTTGCATGAAGCTTGTAAAACTGCTTCCCTGCCATATGTAATTTTTGTTTATCTGATTGATTACCTGCCATCAAGTCAGTGTCAACTCTTAATTACCATAAAGTTCCTTCATCACATTTTCTTTAACTGGGGTCTTTAGTGCATTATCCATGCATTTGGGACATGAGTTTTGCTCAACAAATCTGTAGGGCAAAAGGAAGGTCACTTTAATGACAACCAAGCTTTTTAATGTGCTATCTGATAACTTTTCAATACCCCCATATTTTGTTCTGTTCATACTTTATTTTTAAATAAACACTTTATCTTTAAGATTATGAACTCAGATTTAGTTTTCTGGCCTTCCTATTCTGAGACCTTTCAAAACATTTACTACAAATGGAAAATATTTAGCATTGCTAGCAGGAAGGCTTGGCACAGAGTTGAGGGGAGCTATCATTAACTTAAATCAGCCTCTTAAAAGCAAGCTCAGCTAGTTTCTGTAGTCAGGTAGCCATGACAATTAGCAAACTTTTAAAAACATATACAGTTACTTCCTTGTTAATGAGCAGATCTACTTTGCCACAGTTCCTGTTTGCTGAGAATCAGAAAAAAATGTATTTTGTTTGTTCTTCTTTATAGCAACTCTTTATAGGCTTTCCAGCTTCTAAAGCTCTATTATCTGTGCCATCTCTGGAAGGAACATTTCCTGGATACCAAATAAGTGGGGTGCTGTGTGTAGGATAGGATAGGATAGGATAGGATAGGATAGGATAGGATAGAATAGAATAGAATAGAATAGAATAGAATAGAATAGAATAGAATAGAATAGAATAGAATTTTTTATTGGCCAAGCGTGATTAGACACACAAGGAATTTGTCTTGGTGCATATGCTCTCAGTGTACATAAAAGAAAAGATATGTTCATCAAGAATCATAAGGTACAACACTTAATGATAGTCACTTAATGAAACAGTTGGAGATAGATGGTTCTTCTGTTATCCAGATCCTATGCCATAAATTGATTTATAAATAATAACCAATACTTTGAATTGCACCCAGAAGCCACCTGGCAACAAATGCAACATGTTTAACAGTGATGACACATCAGCATGCTGAAAGGCTGATATTATTGCTTGCACTGCTGCAGTTTGTACTAATAGCTTCCAGATGATCTCCAAGGTCAGCTCCATGTAGAACACATTGCAATAATCTGGATATGGAGACTCCAGGCTCTCCTCAGACCCATCCTTCTAACTCCAGATCTCAATGTCCCCTCTTTTAGTACTGGCCTTCCAGTACAGTGATGGTGAACCTTTTAGAGACCGAGTTCCCAAACTGCAACCCAAAACCCACTTATTTATCACAAAGTGCCAACATGGCAATTTAATCTGAATAATGAGGTTTTACTACCTAAAATAATGATAAACAAGGCAGAGTTCAGCTAATTGTTCTAAGAAAAACATGATAAATGGACTTTTATGCCCCTTCATTTTTTCCCTGCTTTTGAAATATTATATTCAGCAGCAATAAAAAAGAAATTTTTTGCAATATCATTTCTCTCTTTCTCCCTCTCTCTCTTTCCCTCCCTCTCTTTCTTTCCCTTCCCCTCTCTCTCTCCCTCTCTCT